GTGTTCTACTGAAATGGTTAGAGGCAGATGGAGGCGTATTCTACTGTAAATGGTTAGAGGCAGATGGAGGCGTATTCTACTGAAATGGTTAGAGGCAGATGGAGGCGTATTCTACTGTAAATGGTTAGAGGCAGATGGAGGCGTGTTCTACTGAAATGGTTAGAGGCAGATGGAGGCGTGTTCTACTGAAATGGTTAGAGGCAGATGGAGGCGTATTCTACTGAAATGGTTAGAGGCAGATGGAGGCGTATTCTACTGAAATGGTTAGAGGCAGATGGAGGCGTGTTCTACTGAAATGGTTAGAGGCAGATGGAGGCGTGTTCTACTGTAAATGGTTAGAGGCAGATGGAGGCGTGTTCTACTGAAATGGTTAGAGGCAGATGGAGGCGTGTTCTACTGTAAATGGTTAGAGGCAGATGGAGGCGTGTTCTACTGTAAATGGTTAGAGGCAGATGGAGGTGTGTTCTACTGTAAATGGTTAGAGGCAGGAGGAGGCGTATTCTATTTTTAAGAGTTAGAGGCAGACAGGGGCATATTCTACTGTAAATTGTTAGAGGCCATGGGAGGATGTTTTACTACAGTAGAGTCTGATAGAAGCAGATTTTACAATAGCACCAGATTGTACTGTAAACACGCACTGTTTTTCTGGACCTGCTGCTGTTGTACTGTGGCACCTTGAAGAGAAGTAATCTCTGACGTCGGCCGATCCCCTTTGTGGCAACAGTTTGTTTGGAGTCTGCTGCCTGTTGGTCTTTTGATGTGGTCACGGGCGCACTGTAAGAATGTCTGTTCTGATGTCTGGAACATGACCTTACTCTTTACATGTATTTGGGTGTGTACGTGTGATGTCTGTTTGTGTTTTCGTCCTCAACGATTTCCTGTGGAAGTTCAACCCCATTAGGTCCCTGTCCCCCGGATAAAGAACACTATTATTGGATACTCTACGGTAAAGTGATTCGTAGGGATGGACTTTACGATGCGAGCACTGTCAGCCCCGGACTGTAAACAGACTGATGTATCTGGTCTGTTCTTCCGGTAGGCGTCTGTGGCCCGGCCGTTTAGTCGATGTCAGTTGACGCGACTGTGCTCTGCTACGGATTAGAGGAAACAGGCTAAATATAATGGAATTAACTTCAGTAAGCAGGGTGTTTGGCACCTCATCCCCACGATTGTAGATAACCTTTAATCTGTTGCTTGTCGTCACCCACATGCTGCGCCACGGATTCAAAGTGACTCTAGCTAATAGATCTTTGCCTTTAGCGTCGTCGAGGTTAGTGATCATCAAAATAGGGGCAGAATAAATGGCTCGCTAAAATGCATTTCAAACGTCCGTATACGTCACGAGGAAATAGAACATTCTGGAGTTAATATGCTTTTTACAAATATATTGTATGTGTATTTTCTTCTCATTGAGGCGGGGCAATGACTCCGGGGACTGTTTGAAGTTAACTTTTGTGTGTGCGTGTGTGTGTTGTTTCGTCTGCGCACGAGGAGTGAAGAGACATCCACTGCAAAGAGCAGGTGTGGCTTTTGAACGTAGCCACGGTATGGCAGGTTCCCTTTGCTCTCGGTCGTCTGATTCTTGTTTTGATCAAAAGAAGAAAAGCCTTCTTGTCGAGGTCTTTCATCTCCAAGAGACAGCCTCTCCCTCTCCCTCTACCTTTTGTTAGTCTGTTGTTCTCTGGGCCGTAGCTTTGTGGTTTACAGCAGGTGTTACTATTTTAAGTTTGGTCTGGCGCTAGCAGTCGTCCCATATGCCGCACAACAGCGATGTTTTATTTTTATTTTTGCTTTTTTTTCAGAGGATGTGAAGTTTGGATTTAAAGGTGTCCTCCCACAGGCTTACTCACTCGTTTATTAATGGGTGGCCCTGATACAATTTCCAATATTCACGACTAGTGTGGCATCTGCTATTATTGATCTCTGTTGCAGTGTGGCTTTTACGTGGCTACACTTAAGAGGTTCAAACAGCAGGAATGTGTAGAGGTCAGAGGTCACGCCACCTCATCACAGTGAATATTGAACAAATTGGCCCGATGGTGGTATTTACTAGGTCTTTGAAATGGCAAAGTGAAATATTACACTCACTAGCGCATTGACCTACAAACACAGTGCGTGTGCCCGTTTGTCTTCTTCCTTCACAGGTTTTGGTTTTATTGCATGATATGACTCCACAGCCTGGCCTGACTGAATTTCAGGCAGTAGCTTACAACTAGCTACTGTATTTAATATATTGACTATATAACAACTGGATAATGTTTTGTCCACATTATGACGGTAACATAATTTCTTTGTCATGGCAGCCAAATGGGTGGACCAACAACCCAGTGCCAATAAACCCCAATACACCCAAATACACCCCAATACACCCAAATACACCCACTATACACTACTATTGTCTTCTGAGTATCTGCAAAATTACTAAAATGCCAAGAAATATGTTTGTTATATACATTATAATGAAATAGTATTTTCTGACATAATCCACTGCATATATTATTCTTAATACTATTTTTAGCGGTGCAGTCTCAGTCTCCGGGTGTAGACATCAACAGTCCTTATCGGGTCCAGACTGTAGTGAATAGGATTCAGGGATGGGATTTTCCCTTCATCAGGAGAGAATTGGCTGTTACTGTCTGTGCTGAGTCATGCTTCTGGTCCACGCTAATGAGCTTCACCGTTTTTTTGAGATAAACATTCCTGCAGCAGTCGTGAACATTTCCCAGGACGGACTAATTGCCAATCGTGTGTGTATATTGTTAGTCCTTCGACCTTTGTGCGCTTTCATTGTTTTTCGATATTCCACATTGACCCGGACCTTCCAATTGTTTTGTATTGGAGATGAGTATGGGTCTTTAGCAATTGTTCTTTTTTTTTGCTTCTATATTTGTTTTAGAAGAAACTGAAAAGTTTGGTAAAAACAGCAATACGCCAACCCTTGCTGGGACACTCTACAACAAATGATTTGGTCATGTAAAAGGGTAAAATAAGTAAGTAGTAAGTGAACTTCCAAAGTGCAGCTAATATTTTTTTTTCCGGCTTTGCATTCCAGCACTCACGATTTGAAAAGCTTGAATGACTATGGGGGCTAAAGGGGTGTGGCAGCTTTAACTTTAGAGTATTGTACAATGAACATTATGGAAATTACAGCATGTTTCATACATAGTCTAAATGAATGACGACATTATAGTCCAGCCTGTTGCTTGTGCCTCACAAATGAAGTACCAGAAAAGTGACAATGCAATTCAAGCTGGCCATCACAAGGCAGACACTTCAGAATAAAAGACAAAATGGTACATTAAAAGAAGAAAGCACAGGTTACGTCAGCACTGGCACATTTCCTGCTAGACCAAGGAAGTCCTTTACAGTGTTCGGCCAATGAATGCTCACCATTATTAAGAACAAATACGTGTGTAATATTAAGACCACTCCTCAGGAGGTACGCATGGATGTGTCAGCTACTACCATTCGAATACCTCACCAGACAAACTGAAGGGGCTCGAATAGTAGTTCATCTAAATCACAGGATGCCATTGCAGTAAGAGAGACAACAGAGTTCTGAGGAAAGCTGTTGTAGACAGTACAGTACAAATATTGTATTGTAGAGTATTGGCAAGAAAATGTTGTGAAAAAAGGAACTTTCTTACTGGACTACAGATCCGACTGACTAATCATGTTTTTTTTAGTTCACTGTAGCTATTCTAGTGCTAGTGAGTTGTTTGGGTTGTTTGGGAGCTTTATGGGTCAGTTTTAGTGTACACTGGTAACTTCTGCTGTAGATCCACTATGCCAACTATCGGGTGCTGATGGAGTCTTGAATGAATGGTCTTTGGGGGCCAAACATTACTCAGTCGCTCAATCAACGAGTCACTTCAGCAGATTCAGTTAGAAGGGGAACGAATCACCTCACGTGGCACTCTCAATAGGAACATTTGCTGATTGCATTTATGGCAAACACACTCTTGAAAAAGCAAAGTAATCTTTATAACAACTTGTCTACATTGCCGGGTCTGTGGTTGGAATGTATGTTTTTTGTCTTCACTGTACTGTACATTCCCAGAGCGGGGCGGAGGAGCCTCCTTCACCTCAGCTCCGACCTGAGGAGAGACCCCTGAAATTAGGGGTTAATACGGTAATCACTGGGAGTTGTAATGTATAAGTCAACTTGTTCACTCTCCTCAGGACACACAGCTTCTGGCTGGGCAGTCGGAGAGATTAGTTCCAGGTCGAGAGCCAGGCCTGATCGGCCGGTGCGTAGCCACAGAGCCAGGACCGGCCGATAACCTAAAATGCATCGAAACGGCGTCATGTTAGTAGAGGAGTGGCAGAGGGAGTTTTGGCCATAATCTGCCCATGGCACGAACACCAACCACTCCGCTGACCGGTTCTGGTAGTAAGACTGTGCATCCTCACATTCATGGCCAATTAGGCCACCAGTAGTTAATGTTGAAACAGCACACTGCCCAACCAATGCTGGGGTGACTGGAGATGGTAGACGTATATGCCCAGCATATGAGGAGGTTTGGGACATCTAACGGCAGATAGCGACGCCCCGCGGGCCACTGAGGTGGAGATGCCTCTCTGGGTAATGAACACTCAATGTCTGCGACCACCACCCCTAACGCTGGTGCCTTAGGCCTAATGACCCATCCATAAAGTTCCCAGATGTGCCTGAATCCACGAGCGCCTTACACTGGGAGACAGTGGGGAAGTTGTAAAGGTGACATGAATGGTGAAAGCTGAAACAGAGGGCTCTGAGCGTGTGTGGCGCTTCCCTAACTGGGACGACACACTAGTGCCCTGCCTTCCGCCTACTGCCCCAGGAGACACCTGACGAGTGGGTGGCAGAGCGCCCCTCTTCTGCTACAAAAAGTGTAGCATAAGAGGGCCTGGAGCAGCCGGTACCATGGCTTTCCCCAGGGAGGCGAGCGTGGTGGAGTGCTTCTGGATGGGTTCCGCATCTCCTGCTGGCTCCCTCATATGTAATCTCTTCATGAGGAGTTGGTGTAGCTCAATGGTAGCGTACATGCTTTCAATGTATGATGTCCTAGGTTCAATTAGCAGCTTCCACCCAGGTCGCCGTTGCAACTGAGAATTTGTTCTCCATCGACCTACCTGGTTCAATAAAGGTTCAATAAAAATGAAGTGTGATATTCTGTCACGGGCTAGATACGGACAATAAAATGCGCCGGTCAGGAGAAGCTGCGTAAATGGTTTCTTTATTCTTGTACTGTTGGAAACAAAGAAGAAAAAGAGTGTCTCCGCTCATACAACAAAACGTATAATAGAATATAGTCAACAGCTCTGCGTACTTTGAACAGAGAGACCATATATACAGCCCCTAATGAGGTAATGCACACCAGGTGTGCGCAGTGACAAGACAATTGGAGTGATGACAGGAGGGGTGGAGTGGCTAGAATGCTGGTGACGACGAACACCGAAGCCCGCTTATAGATGGAGAGAGTGCAGCTTTGGGTGGAGTCGTAACACTTGGTGTATTTTGAGATTTTCAACAACAATGTTAGGAATCGCTTGTGTTCTTCCCTTCAGTCAACAAACCAATACTGGCCTTAAATATTTACCCATATTGTGTGTTAATCATTTTAATTTGGCCATTTATTTCGAACAACGGCCGTATTTCAAGAGCAGCTCATATATTTTCTGGTGTTTTGGTGTGGGGGTAATAAATGGAGTCAATCCCCTCACATTGAAGAGGTATTTGACGTTTTTTGTGTTATGTTAAATATTTTTTTGCCAACCCGTGAACAGAAATGTATTTAAGTGCTTGGGAGGTAAGACCCATCAGCAGGATGATATGATAGAAACCCGGACAGGTAAAGTCAGGTTGAAGAAGAGTGTCCACCAACTCAACCGCTAATTGGAGTTACATTTCTTGAAGGCAGAAAAAGGCAGACAATTAAGACTGAATATAGAGGGCAGGCTTGCATTTGAAAGTAGCCGTTTGGCCAAGGTTAGCGCTTATTAACCTTCCCCTGCACCCTAACATTAACCCTAACCCTTGTCAAATTTTAACCGTCACCCAAACCATTTTAGAATTAATCTAAACTTCGTCGAAGAGCAAACTCTGCCCTCTCCTATGAAAAGAAGGTAATCCCAACCGACAGTTTCTGATTGGCCATAACACATTGCTCTCTTTGTCCTCCGCTACTTGTGACTCGTAAAACGTTTGATAATCTTAATCCTACCTCATCCCAACACAAAAGATGTTGCCCTGTCAGACATCGAGGGCACTCTCAGGCGGCACTCCTCAATGCATCCACTCAGGCCAGACAGGATGAGCAGAGGGTCCTGCCGGCCGTGTTGAGGCACTGTGTAATGTGATATCAGACAAGTTCTGGCCTGGCCCTGGACCCCGGCCAGCCTACTGAGGGTAAGAGTTTGGCCTGCTGTCACAGCCAGATCGCTGCTTTAGTCACAAGGCTCCGATCCAAAAACGGACAGATCCTTCTAGTTGCCTGTCCTGTTGCAAAACATTTTTACAGAGACAATGTCTGGCAGCAGGGTGGTGAGGAAGTGTAATACGTCAGCTTTCCTCGATTTGACAGCCGTTATTAGACAGTAAACATATGGATTTTACTTTGTTTGCTGTCTTCGGTAGTTATATGACTGAAATAGACAACGTTATACCAAAATGTTATTTTCTCCAAATATCTGTATGTCTTCTATTATCTGTATGTCTCCTATTATCTGTATGTCTCCTATTATCTGTATGTCTCCTACTCTCTGTATGTCTTCTATTATCTGTATGTCTCCTATTATCTGTATGTCTCCTATTATCTGTATGTCTCCTACTCTCTGTATGTCTCCTATTATCTGTATGTCTCCTATTATCTGTATGTCTCCTATTATCTGTATGTCTTCTATTATCTGTATGTCTCCTACTACATGTATGTCTCCTATTATCTGTATGTCTCCTATTATCTGTATGTCTCCTACTACATGTATGTCTCCTATTATCTGTATGTCTCCTACTACCTGTATGTCTCCTACTACCTGTATGTCTCCTATTATCTGTATGTCTCCTATTATCTGTATGTCTCCTACTCTCTGTATGTCTCCTATTATCTGTATGTCTCCTATTATCTGTATGTCTCCTATTATCTGTATGTCTCCTACTACCTGTATGTCTCCTACTACCTGTATGTCTCCTATTATCTGTATGTCTCCTATTATCTGTATGTCTCCTACTCTCTGTATGTCTCCTATTATCTGTATGTCTCCTATTATCTGTATGTCTCCTATTATCTGTATGTCTCCTATTATCTGTATGTCTCCTACTACATGTATGTCTCCTATTATCTGTATGTCTCCTATTATCTGTACATCTCCTATTATCTGTACGTCTCCTATTATCTGTATGTCTCCTATTATCTGTATGTCTCCTATTATCTGTATGTCTCCTATTATCTGTATGTCTCCTATTATCTGTATGTCTCCTACTACATGTATGTCTCCTATTATCTGTATGTCTCCTACTACATGTATGTCTCCTATTATCTGTATGTCTCCTACTACCTGTATGTCTCCTACTACCTGTATGTCTCCTATTATCTGTATGTCTCCTATTATCTGTATGTCTCCTATTATCTGTATGTCTCCTATTATCTGTATGTCTCCTACTACATGTATGTCTGCTATTATTTGTATGTCTCATACTATCTGTATCTTGGTTGTTAGTGAGTAATAGGTCCAGAGAAGTTTTATAATTATTTTAAGCCTTCAAAAATATAGAACTAAATGCACTTTATATGCAAATATCCTAGTTTCTGCAACCATGTGTATTTAACACTTCATGGTTTCGTCCATTCCCCAGGAATGTATCCAGGAATTTATGAATTAATTTATCACATTCCCTCCTAAGAAGGTGCTGCCTTTATTCCATCCTCTCAGACTTTGGGGTCATTTGTCCACAAATGTGTTGCTTGACCGAAAACTCCTCTTCCTCCCAGTGTTTCGGTCACCTATTTACCGTGGCAAAAACTGACATGGCTCTTTGAAAGTGAGGGATTCAGGATCTTTGTATAAACGTCTACAGAGAACAGGTACACAAAGGAACAAAAGCCTCCAACATGGGGAGTACTCCATCACTGGGACACTGTGTTATCTCACACAGAGAAAGACTAGAAAGGCACAGAGTGGGGCAGAGTGGGGCAGCCTTCAGTGACATGCCCTTAGCTGCTCTGCTGCTCAGCTCTCGCTGTTGAGGTGAGGTAAAGACAGACAAATGTCGATGGAAAAGACAACTGAATGGATACCTTCTGTAATGGACTGTGTCTGCTATAGATAAACGTTTGATGACCATTCAAATAGGCGGTAACTGAGAACTGATTGTGTTTAATATTCTGTTGAAGTAATCAAGTCATTGTCTCATACAGTGGCATTTGGGTATGGCATTTAAAAACGCCGTGACAACCTGCCTAATATGATGTTGGTGTGTCGCCGTGTGTTGCCAAAACTGAGACGACCTGCCGAGGCGTGGACTCTGCCAAACCTTACAAAAAAGGTGTCTTGTGGTGTCTGGCACTAAGACATCAGCAGCAGGTCCTTCAAGTCCTGTCAGTTGAGCGGTGGAGCCGCCGTGGATCGGACTTGTTGGCCCATCACGTCCCGCAAATGCTGAATCGGATCGCAACACCTTGATTTCTTCATTATGTTCCTCTAACAATTCCCGAGCAATGTGGGCAGCTGGTAGTGTGTATAATCTTGCTGAACACGGCCACTGCCCTCAGAGTGTACCATTGAATGGGTGTAATGGGTGCATACATGTATAGGTGGGTGGCACGTGTGTTAAATTCATGTCCACATGAATTCCCAGCAGAACATTGCCCAGAGCATTCCAATCCCCCAGCGGCTTGCATGTCTCCCAGGATGCATCCTGGTTCTATCACTTCCGGCGCACGCGAACACGGCTGTCTATGCGGTATAAAGAAAACGGGACTCTGACGCTTGCGTGCCTGTTGTGGGTGCTTTCGGCGGTGGACACGGGTCATCACGGGCCCTCTAACCGTTTTGTGGCTGTGCACTGCTTTTCTAAATCATGTCTAATCAATTGAATTTGCAACAGATGGACTCATCAAGGTCAAGAGACATTTCAACGATGATCAACAAAGGATCTGCATCTGTGCCCAATTTGGAGTGTCATGACAACGGGTCTGAATAATCGTGTACATGGGCTTTTTCATTTTTGTGTCCGAAATTTTTATAAAAATGTGTTTGCACTTTGTCGATTTGGGGTATTGTGTGTAGATATACTCTTAATATGAAAATATATAATAAAACAAAAAATATAGTATTTGTCCGCAATGTGTTCTTCCATTTACCATGGCGATTCTACAATGGCCAATGGAAGACACACCTTGTAAATGACAACCGTCGTCTGGTCACTGTGACAGACCTCGAACCAGCAGAGTTGTGTTCCATCCGGCCCCTGGCTTCAGTGGGATCCATGAATCCCAATTCTTTGGCCTGGCGATAAGCGCTCCGCTGCTTCACGGTGCAAAAATTGGGTGGCATGCGTCTATTTAGCCTTAAAGCGCATAGACGTATGTAACTAAACCTCATCAACAAGTGAACAATTAAGGCAGTTTCACTAGAACATTTAAATACCCCCCTCATGTTGCACTCCCCTGTGACATCCTTAGAAGATTGCAGCCTCAGAAAACAATGCAGTATCCCGCTGGAATCGCTGGCCTCTGATCTCAGCTACGCCACATTTGAGCTGGCAGCGCTGCCAAAACCCAAACGCGTAGTTGACAACTTGCAAAGAGCTGGATCCTCAGGCCATTCGCCACAATCCTGAAATGTGCTTGGCAACAGCGTGTGCAATTATATCTGACGCTCTGAAATGCTGTCGAGATAGGGAACATGGAGGGGGGGGGGATCCCATGTCCAGTTGGTGTGCACAAATGTCAACGTCCTCCCCAGGTCTTGTACAGTGTATCAAGTAATCAGCTAATGCTCTCTGTAATGTTCCACAGAACTACTCGGTGGATGCGGCCAAAACTGTTGACATCTGTGAAACGAAAGCCTGGAAAAAAGCATCCTTGATTTA